CCACCATTTAGTAGTTATTACCTTTACCAGCATGTGGGTGTCTGGTGATATCATGGATTCACAAGGCAAGCAGATTTGGGTTTCCAAAAAGAACTAATTCTAAAAGATGCAGGCAATTCAGACCCCTGATTCCCTGGACATTATGCCAGACTGAGCCAAGGGTGGGAGCTGACCCCGCTCCTAACTGTCCCTTCAAGGTACAGGCACCTCCAAGTCTGTGGGCATGTGAGGGCCAATTTTGATTCATGTATTGACTTTAGTACCTTACCTGAGGGAAGTGTGCAGGTAGCCAGGGACTGAAAAAATACCTATTTCAAACTTTTAGAGCAGCTCTGGTGTGGCTGCACAGCCAGGTTACCAAGAGCTGTAATGAACACTGTACTCTTTCCTGTTTCTGGGCAACCCTCTAGCCATTCGCTCCTGGTTAACTCGGAAACACGTCCAGAGGCTGCACACAGCTGCCACAGTCATCAAGCGCGCATGGCAGAAGTGGAGAGTGAGTATCGGACTCAAGAAGTCAGGGTTGCCTGTGGATATTTTGGTACCAGATAGACCCGGGTTGGAACGCTGGCCCTGCCACTGCAAAGTGGGTGGTCTCATGTTCTTCATGCACAAAATGGCCATGCCCCACCTACACTGCAGGGTGGCTGTGACAGTAAGGAGTGGCATAAGCAACTGGGAACGTGCTAAACACCATGGAATTATAGACTCTTTAAAGGTGTGGATTTTATATCAACTAGATCTCAACAAGGCTATTTTTTAAAGTAGCCTGTGGAAGGCCTAGGCCCACCTGCCTTGGGTATGAAGTTCTGCCACACAGAGCCAGTCTGGTTGAAGGCACCCAGCTGTTCACAGCCAGGCGCCCTTCAGTTCACCTTGTTAAGCTGACTTATTAAAGAGGGTTTTGGTTTCCATTAAGAGCTGAGAAGTCAAAAGCTATAAAGTGGTGTTCTCTTTTTAAGACCAGAATGGCCTTCCTTGCTTCTAAAGAACTGGATGGTGTGGAAGAAAAACACTTGTTTCAAGCTCCCGGTTCCCCAAGCTCCTTCCCGCTGCCCCAGGCACAGAGCTGGCTCCCGGGGGCAATAATCCGCCTCTGGCCCCTGGGACTGGTCCTGGCCAACGCAGCCGTGGGTGTGCATGGCTTCCAGAGGAAACTGGTGGTCTGGGCCTGCCTCCAGCTCCCCACCAGCAGCCCCCGGAGCTACACTGTCCAGACAGCACAAGAGCAAGATGGTGTCACGTCCATCCGAGCACTGCCTCAGGTAAGCTGTGATGGGATGGATGGCAGTCTTGCCCACAGCAGCTCTGGGTCCCTCCCATCTCACTGTAGAAGGCAGGAGGCCAGGCCCAGGAATCCACAGCAGAAGCAGGACTGAGGCTGGGACAAGAGCCGACCTAACCCTACTGGGGAAACCAGAGCCTAAGCTTCCCAACTGGCTGCAGTTACAACTCCGACTTTTCCAGAGCCTTTTCATCACCTCTTAAAAACTGCCTCTAAGTGTTCTGGAGCAGCCGTCGCCAACCCGTGCTCCGTGAGGTCCAAAAGGCTGGCGACCGCTGGTTTAAGGAAACCTTTGGAGCAGCAGTCACTAACCGGTGGTCCTCGGACCACTGGTCCATGAGGTCTGAAAGGCTGGCGACCACTGTTCTAGAGTCACCTTTTAGTTAGTCCCACTTTCAAAAAACTTGGGTTGTGCTGACAGCTTACTTACTCCAGTGGCACTGGATTTGGCACCAGGTTTTCCCCAAATGATGTTACTTGGTTTTTCTCCTTTTCCAGCTAAGGAAATGACAACCAGGTGAGTCACTGGTCCGAGTGCCCTGTGTTTTTATATTACGGGCAGCCAGGGGAAAAGTCAGCCAGCATATAAAACAGGCAAACACTCAAGGATTACATGATATCAACAAGGCAGAAGGAAGGAAACTGAATTTCTTGCCAGAGGAATTACTGTAGGCCAGAACCTGGGTAAAATCTCCCATGACCACACAGTGTAAACCGAAATCTGTCTGACCTGGCGTTAAGCAGTCTTAGGGCTGAGACAGGTGACACTTCTAGGAGGGGAGCGCTCTACTGTTCCTCATCTGCCTCACACTGCAGGGATGTGAACTTTTCTATTCTAATACCGCTCTGGACTTTGCCACTTAACCAACTGAAAAACATGTTGGTTAGTTCAGTCCTGCTACTGCCGTGACTCTCATGCCAGCACTTACTTATCCACACTCCCCTGCATCCCTAGCATTTGCTCTGTGAGGTACCTTTAGGCCCTGGCTCTCCTGGGAGCCGGGGGTAAGCCACTTCTCTCTCTCCCCAGGGCTCGATCAAGTTTCACTGCAGAAAGTCTCCGCTGCGCTATGCTGACATCTGCCCTGAACCTTCGTCCGACAGTGTTACCGGCTTTAATCAGATTCTGCTGGAAAGACACAGACTGGGCCACGTGTGATCTCTTCTCACCTTCTATCCTCACCTGGCTGGGCAACCTGAGGTGCCTTTGTTTCTACAATGCCTTTCCTGCCAGCTGCCTTGCCAAGAACATTTAATCAACACATAGCTGCCAAACTACTCCCAGTGACTCCCAGGCCTGTGAGAGTGATGGCTCCTGCCCGCCTGCGGGCCAGGGCTGTGCGGTCCATCACCAGTGGGGCCTGGGGCTCCAGCCTCCATCTCAAGCACTGACAGGTGTCAGGGTTAGTAGTTCCCAGACCAAGATTAAGAAACAGCAGGGCCACATTTTAACTACATTCGCGGAGCCAACTGCCATCAAACAAGATTGAGAGTTGTCTGTCGCTACAGTGGGGTACCCCCCACTCTGATTCCCCACAAACCGAACAAGCAGCTTGAGATCAGCTCTAAAATTTTGGCTGGGGAAATTGTTTCATTCCTTTAAAAGGAACAAAACTTTACTATTTAATATGTTGTTGATTTATTTAATTTGAAGCAATTAAATTATGAATCAAGGATGATGAACAATGCAACGTACCACAGAACCACACCTTGATTTTATTTAGTAACACTGAGCAAGTTTTCACTCAAACAAGTGTGAAACTTGATAAATTATCTCACGATATCTACCTTAACTGTACCAAAAATAAATAACTTAAAAACAACCATTTGAATGTGTGCCACTTGAATGCCCCCATCTGTCTGACACCTAAGCCCACAGCAATGGAGGTGAAGACTCGCATGACCTACCCTACATCAGCAGGTCTTCGTCCTGGAAACACTGCCCTTGCTTGGGGCCCCACATTAGCTGGTCTCCTGGGAGAAGGAGCAAGCAGCACCATAATCCATTTTAAGGATCCTTATTCTGGGATGGTTCCACGATGCTTAAACAGCAGTCGGCAAACTCCACAAACAAGGGCTCCTGCATGCAGGCTCTCATGAGCTTGGCCTTGTCGTCCCCCTGATCGAGGCTGACCATCAACTGTCTAAGGTGTGGATTGAGCAGTAAGCTTCTTAATGCTGCAGACTCCCCTTAAAAATTAAGGAAAGAAAGCCAATCTGAGTTGAAGCTGGAACAGGTGGAGATGGCTGAAAGCTAAATGCTTTAAATGTAACACTGTATCCCCTTAACCTTTAAACCCACAAATTAACCCCAGTGCTTTACATAAACAAGGTGAAATCAGCATATAAAATGATTTCCAAGTTAAATACTTCATGACTACATATACAGAGAACAGCCTTAGCTTATTGGCAAGGACAGTTATACACTGAATGTCAAACTCCAGAGAGAGTGCTTGTGAATGATGCTTAAGTGCTTGATCCAGCCTAAAGCACAGTCGGTAGTGAAATGACGCTAACATCTGTGTGGTGCTTTACAGATGACAGAACTGTTCACAACTATCCCCAGCTAGCTCCAACCTCATTCTAACCACTGCCATGGGACCAGGTGCAAAGCACCACCTGTCAGGCGGACTGTGAAATGGGAATGAAAATAATGCCCACCTGTAGGAACTACCCTGGCCCATGAATTAGAGGTAACAGAACTGCTCTAGGGACTGAATGAGCAATCCCACAAAATACTGGGTATTAATAATGCCCACATCCTCTAAAAATCAAGTCCAAAAAAGGGGACATATAATACTTTCAACAATAAAGACAGCCTTAGCTGGTTTGGCTCAATGGATAGAGCGTCAGCCCGAGGACTGAACAGTTCAGGTTCTATTCTGGTTAAGGGCACCCACCTTAGTTGCAGGCACAATCCCCCACCCTGATCAGGGCGAGTGCAGGTGGCAACCAATCGATGTCTCTCTCACATTGATATTTCTCTCTCTCTCTGTCTTTCGCCCTCCCTTCCACCCTCTCTAAAATAAAAATGGAAAAATATCCTCGGACCCAGTAAGGTATTTTTTAAAAAATAAAAACAAATTTAAAAAATCAAGTCCTGGGATTATCCAGTATGCATTAATGGCTAGACTGCAAATGGAGCACTAGGAACATGGAAATAAATGTAGGTTTCTCCCCTACAGACTAATGTGAAACAAATTAGCAAAAAATCTGGTGAGTAGTATATTACAAGGCACCATGGGAATATGAAAAAGTATCTAATTCTGACAGTCAAAGGTCAAGAACACTTTAACTGAGGACAGGACACTTGAACAAAGCCTTGAAGGAGGAAAACTCTGCTAACTCACAAAGCCACTGTGACCCCAAGCCAAGAAAACGGTCTTACAGACAAGCTGGGAGGTGTGGAAACCCTGTGTTGTTAATAGAACAGTGTGGCTGGATGAAGGGCTCTGCATGCAAGCTAAAGTATTTAATAACCTTAAAAATCACATTCTGGCTCTGGCCAGGTGGCTCAGTTAGAGCTTCGTTCACATACACCAAGGCTGCGGGTACAAGAAGCAACCCATGAATGCATAAATAAGTGGAAAAACAAATCGATGTTTCTTTTTTTCTCTCTCCCTCTTTCTCTAAAATCATAAATAAAACCACATTCTATACAACAGATTAAATGTATCTCAATGGTTGACAAAAAGTAAGCACAGTACAGACTTACCTAAATTCTTTAAATTCTGCAAAGAAACTCTGTCCTGTTCCTCGTCACTATTGAGAAAATCAGCTACAGAGTCGTCATCATCATCTAAGGAATATATAACACAATCAACTACTTATGGCTCTAAAGAAAGGCAGATTTTAACTACTCAAATAGATTTTAAAAATGTATAGGCACACACGTCACAGTAACCCATTTGTATAAACTCTTTTAGGAAAGGGAAGGAAAATGGAAGAAACATTGGTGACTTAAAACAAATGCATCCTAGTGTTCACACGCTTAGTCTACGTGTTTCCCTGTGGCTGTTATGCTGGAGGCTGATTTTCCAATTCTTATCCTCCTCCTCTCCTCACCATGGCTCCAGCTCTCAGATGGACCAATAAACTAGGTGTGCTCCATATAAACCTAACGTCAATCTCCTCATGGGCAGAAATGCTGGCATTGCCTGAACCCAATAAGGAAGTTTGTCCCAGGGCAGAACCAGGCCACCTCCTTCTTGCTGTGAATGTTCAAGATGCCTTGGGTGGCATCAGAGGGGGCTGCTTTCAGAGGCAAGCATGATGCATGACCCCAGGTAGCCAGGTGGTTGGCAGGATGGGATGGCAGCTCTCTACCACTGTAACCTGTGAGAAGCCTCCAGCAGCAGCAAGGTGTCATGAGCCAAGGGCAGCCTCTCACCTAGGCCCAGCTCAGGTGAACTGACAGGTCCAGCCAGACCCATGAAGGGAGACTGAAGCCATGACTACAGAAGGCTCCCTCACCCCCAAACCACACCCACGGTCTTCCCCCTCTTGGCTCTTGCCCCTATTATTCCTGTCCTGAACAATGCCTTTAGGCTGCTCTCTATCACCGCAAGGACAGTGCCCCCACTCCTGATGCTCTGGGCTAAGGAAGCTGCTTCTCCCTAATGAAGACATGGTCCTTGACTCCCTGCCCCAGCCCGTCTCCTCTTTCCTTTCAACGTATTCTATTTCAAGGCCCTTTCTAGGTTTGTTTGTTTGAAGCCAACTAACCCACCTTTGTTTTCCTCGGGCTTTATTGTTCTTGCAGTAAAAGCTGGTATTTTTTCCTCAACAAGACGAGTTTCGGTATTGCACTGCTCTGAAAGACACACACATCAGGAGCACATCACCTCCATTTTAGTGACAAGGCTATACCTCCCCACCAAGCCAGCATCGAGGTGGGAAGCATAAGGATGGAGGAAGGGATGTGGGTGGGGGTGGAGATGGATGCAGAGGAAGTGAGAGATCAGATCAAGGGAAAGTAGCAAAAACAAGCAACCCTGAACCTGGCAAAACAACTTATGGACCCCTAGGACCTGTCCGGATCCCTCCTTGCCTTGCCTGGTATCACAGGTCTTTCATTATGTTTAAGTGGCACACTGACTTCAATTAGCATCAAACTATTTTCTCAGGAATTTCAGATATCAAATTTGCATGTGCTCGTGCCATTGGGCATACACAGGTCCAGCCCGGAGGGGTTCAGTCTTAGGGATGACAGCTAGAGAGATGGATAAGATGCAAAGGGCCAGAAGATAAGACCAAGAGGAGTCTTGCAGAAGGAGGCATTGCCAGGTCAAAGACCATTTCTGGCAGAAGAAAGATGTGTGGCTAGCACCAACCCTTAAAATAGGGTCAGGTGCAAGGAGATGGTGATGAGCAAATGCCAGCAGACTGGTGGTGGCTGGAACACAAGTGGAGAAAGCAGGAGCAAAAGTATGCCACACGCAGGCCGACCGTTACAGGTATTTCTCAGCAAGAGTGCTACTGCGTTCAGGGTGGAAAGGTCTTTAATGCTGTCAGTCTCACACACCACAAGGTGTTTATTAGAATCAATACCAATTACCAGAAGTACCACCAACTCCTCCTCAGCTACTGTAACAACAAAAATTTTGTGAAGAGGTATCTTCCTGGGGAGAACCACTCCCAGGTTAAGAACCACTGACCTGTGCTGGAGAGAACTGGCCTTTTCAACAAGGGAGTGAATTGCTCCAATTTGCATTTCAGAAAACTCACCCTGGCGGCAGCAGGGCCACACAGATAAGAGCTCCTGATGGGGTTCTTAGAGGGGCCTCACGGGGATGCAATGTGAGGGGGAAGTGTTCCCAACCCAGCTCTCCAGCCCTATTTCCAGCCAAACAGTTATCTTCTTTCCTGTCTACCTTTAATTGAAGGTTTATTTTTTTAAATATATTTTTATTGGTTTCAGAGAGGAAGAGAGAGAAACATCAGTGATGAGAGAGAATCATGGATCATTGGCCTCCTGCAGGCCCCTCTACTGGGGAACCAGCAACCCCCAGCATGTGACCTGACCAGGAACTGAACCACGGAATCCAACCGTGACCTCCTGGTTCATAGGTCCACACTCAACCACGCCGGCCAGGCGAAGGTTTCTTTTGAAATACTCCAGAGATATTAGAAAAAGGGCAGGGGGCGGGGTTGGAGAGAAAGGCATGAAACATACTGCCGTAAAGCAGAGACTAGAGGGGATGAAACAAACAACTAATGAGAAAAAGGGGGGGGGGCATCTATAATACTATCAACGATAAAGATAAATTTTAAAGAACCTAAACGAGAAACTTTAACATGAATCAACCAATCATGAAGTCGTGGGAAAGGGCCCCCGAGGGCTGAGAAGAGGCGCTGGAGGAACAGTTAAAATGTACGCTTGACAACATTAACAGCCAAGGACATAGCTCCTTACTGTAAAAAGACCTACCTCACTGTTTCTGACAAGACCTTATTTAGAAGAACGTTCTCGTTAACCTTAGCCAGCGCAACTTGGGCCGAATGATGAGGAAAACAAAGATGAAATAGCTGGGTTGCCTTTTCCGGCGAAAAACGACCCACTCTTTTTAAAAGACACAAAAAAAGGATAGCACGTAGAAGAAAACACAGAGCAGAAGAAAGTTCTGACTGTTCAACATCCGGAGAAGCATTCACAGGCAGAGGTGTCCCCAAGAGATCCGACAGGGTCGGGCGCGACGAGGCCCGGAGGGAGCGGGCCTGAGGGGTGCACGGCCCCGAGAGCCGGGCGGGACGTGGGAGCCGCCCCACCCCAGGAGGGAGGCCCGGGCTGAGGCGGGGGCGCGGGGGCCTTACCTCTGTGCTTCCGGAAGCAGGTCACCGAGCAGCTGTAAACAGAACCGATAGGGCATTTCAGCTCCAGGCCTGGCGCACCCTCCCGCGTCCCAGCCCGGCCCCCCGCCCCACCCCCACCCGGCCCGACACTCGCGTCCGCCTCCCCCAGGACGTCCGGCGCTTACTAGGGCACGCGGCAGGCGGGGCAGCGGTATTTGGGCTTTTCCAAGCAGATCACACAGACGACGGTGCCACCACTGAGCGACGCCATGGTCTCCCGGCCCCGCCGCGCGCTGCTCTGGCCGCGGGTGCCACGTGCACGCTGTTTCTTCCGTCTCCTTAACCTGGACCAATCAGCGCGCAGCATTTACTGGCAGACAAAAGCAACAGATTGATCCTGCTTACCGTTCCAGGCCCAATCAGTAGAACGTCGATACACTCGATGTGCACCCAGTAACTGCACCAGGTTTTCCCTGATTGGGTCACATCGTGGAAGAACTTGTCAGTAGCCCTGTCCGCCCATACACGGCAGGGGGACTTGGAACAAGTCATCGGCACTCTCCAGTTCCGTTGCCCCACATTTCCTTTCCTGGTGTGGACTTTCTGACTCTTGCACAGGCTTTGGGTTCTCCCCGCACAAGTCATTTGCTTATCTCTAGAAAACGAGAAGTCCAGCCATTGGTCAAACCTCTGTCAGATCACGAGACACACACATGCCCTTCCCAGCCTAGGCCAGTGGCCGGCAAACTCATTAGTCAACAGAGCCAAATATCAACAGGACAACGATTGAAATTTCTTTTGAGAGCCAAATGTTTTAAACTTAAACTATATAGGTAGGTACATTGTTATTAACTTAATTAGGGTACTCCTAAGGCTTAGGAAGAGCCACACTCAAGGGGCCAAAGAGCCGCAGTTTGCCGATCACTGGCCTAGGCCATTTTTCTCACGGGAAAGAAAGATGAGGCTTGGTCACTGACAAACGTTTATTGAATCTAACTGTGAGTCCTGCTATGAGCAGATGCTGGGCTGGGACACCCAGGGATTATCAAAGGTTGTCTCTGGCCTCTGGGAGCTTAGGGCTTAGAGTGAAGGAAGGAGAGGGAGGTGGGAAGGAAGATACTCAATTTTAGAGTCATGCTGACACTAGCCTGCACTTGCATGACCCTAAGAGTGAGTGCCTCCTTAAATTTTGCACCCTTGGTTTCTCACTCACCTCACCCTAGTCCCAGCCCAGGGTGGGGCAGATTAACCAGGTAAGAGAAGAGTGACTTCTGGCCCAAAGGTGGGAATCCTGTCCTACTGAGTCCAGATAGGTGAGCTCTGATGAGCCTTGAATGCCACCTCAGGCTTTAGGAATAGACAAATTCACACTTTATTGGGACCCCCCCCCTCTTCCTCAAAGCCCTGAGCATAGCCCCATGTGAGTGGTGCCCTTACCCTAAGTGCTTCCCCCTTGTGTTGGCTCATCAGCCCTCAGGATCCCATACAAGGGTCCCCCATGACTTTCAAAATCTGTGGGAATGCATCTGCTACAACCAAGGCAGCCATTCTAATCTTAGCTCAAACCCCTCCCTGGCTGTGTGACTTGGAAACATTTGATTATCCTCTCTGAGCTCCCTCATCTATTAGATATCCAGACCTATATTCCCTATCTGTTGTGAGGCAAAGAGGAGACCATGTATTAAAAGGTTTATAAAAAATATATATAAAAATTAAAAAATAAAAATAAAAAATAAAAGGTTTATAATCTGAAGCACTACAAAGAGTTATTTCCATGATATCTAAAACATTTCTGTAACTCTCCTGGAGCTCCAGCCCAGACCCCATGAGCACAGGTCCCAGGCCCCAAGTCCCGGGTTTCTGCCGTCAGCCTCTGAGCTGTGCTGGCCCTGGGTGTGACTATCCATCCTTCCTTTGGCCGTGCCAGGCTGTCCGGAGGACGCTGTCCAGTCCTCAGTGCTGAACCGTCAGGTCCCCCCCTGGCTGCCTCCCTGCACTACTGTCCCTACCTCCAGCCTCCAACCAGGTGCCCGGGCAAAATCCAAGATGCATCCACAATGACCCAATAATCTGCAGTGTTCTTTGCATTCCTCAACAATTGTGGGTACCGCTGGTTTCGATCAGAAGTATCCCAGCAGGTCTGTGCTTACCTGGGAAGGCCAGGGAGAAGGTGACTTGCCACACCACCCTTGAATCCCGTGCCCTGTCTGGCACCGGTAGAAATTCGCCCATTATGGACATCACCACTGCCCTCTCCAAACTTTTCTTGTGAATTGTGTTTGGAGGCTGAGGCCACAGAAAGTTTCCACAATTTTTAGGGGTTCAACCCCACCCCACCCACATCCAAACCACACTGAATCCCCTAACTCCGGGTCCAGGAATGGTGATTCCAGAAAAAAAAAAAAAAATTCCTGGGATTCCTCCCAGGCACTTCTACGCAGAAAAAAAACACACAAAACCCTCCCTCCCCTCTGGGAGACCCCCAGCTTCCATGGACAGCCTCACCCCTCCTGCTCCAAGGTCCAGGACAGAAGGTGGCTCAGCTGTGATGGCGATGAAATTGAGGAACATCAAGAAGCCACGGAAGACCAGCCCAACTCCTCTGGGCAGTGGCTAGTTCCGAGAAGAATGACAGGTCTGACTCCAGGCCCAGCAATGTCCGCACTGACGCGGACGCCCATGGTGGCCCTGGCTCCCCTGGACCTCCACCGTGCCCATCCTAGCAACTGTCTCGCGCCTCCTTAGCGTCAGACTGAGCAGTGCCCACATGGAGAGGCGAGGTAATAACCTGGCGCAATGGTTTTCAGAGCTACGGGCCCTGGCAGGCGCTGTCCAGCGCATTTCAGACAAGCCAATCCTGGGGCTAACTCCTAAGACCCCGAGTCGCGAGGAGACGCCCAGGCCCGACGCCCATCACCGCCAGAGGGCGCTCCAGGTAGCGATCGGCCCTGGTGCAACAGCGCTCGCTCCAGACCTAACGGAGAAGACAAGGCTGTCTCACCTCGCAGGCAGGCAGGCGGGAGTTAAGTCCGGACCTGGGCCGCCGTACCTCGCACCTCGCCAAGTGGCGGGGAAAGAGCCGAAAGCGCGGCTAGGAAGCAGACGACCGACCGATGGGCAAGTGTGTCTGGACGAAAGCAAGGCCCACGCTAGCGAGGACTCCAAATGCAATTGGCTGTCCAGGGGCAGTTCCCCAGTGACTATCGCCCCATGCTCCTTGTCAGCCCCAGAGGGTGGAGGCCACCTACATTAGTCTGACGAAAGTTTAATCTGGAGCTTTTGAGTTACTAACTAGGGCGTGAGCCCCAGCCTGACGCCCATCACCGCCAGAGGGCGCTCCAGGTAGCGATCGGCCCTGGTGACCAATCTAATCAGCCCACTAGGGCTACACATTGCCCTTATCAGAGTCCAGGGGTTGATAAGATCAGACTATTTGCGCTGCCTTGCTAAATCTCAGCTTCTCTCTGCAGTTCTAACACCTCTATTCCTGTCCCCCAGGATGGGGATTTCAGGTGACCAACTGCCATGTTCTCATCTGCCCCCCCTCCGTTTTCCCTCCCGTGTTCAGGTGTTCAAGTGAGTGAGGTTGCTGGTGGGAGTCAATAAAAGGAGGCCTGAGGTTCCAGTGGAGTGGTCCCAATAATTGATTCCCAGCTCTCTGCATGTTATAGCTGTGAAATGGTATCCGTTCCCCAACTCCAGACAATGACAGTCTGTCCTACAGTTAGACTTCAAAGAGAACTTCCAAACAATAAAAGGATAGAGAATAACTGCATTATCCACAGTCCCAGGAGAACTGGAAAGTACAAACAGTGCAGGTCACCATTGTTTCATGAACACACTCACCCTGCCACCCACAGCTCCACACTTTTTTTCCCTCACACTCTCTCCCACTTATAAGTCCACATAGATCTCCTTAGGACAAACAGAGATCAAAGGAATCAGGACTTCCCAACCAGATTCTCCTAGAAGCTTCGAAGGGTCCCATGTGGTGCGGGGCCCAGAATGGGGGTCCCCAAGCTAGGCAGACCCAGCTCTAAAGGTTCTGGGTCCAGCCTGGTGGTGTGTCTCAGTGGTTGAGTGTGGACCTATGATCCAAGAGGTCACAGTTCAATTCCTGGTCAGGGCACAGGACCGGATCCTGGGCTCCGTCCCCAGTAGGGGGTGTGCACGAGGCAGCCGATCAAGATTCTTTCTCATCGTTGATGTTTCTGTCTCTCCTTTCCCTTCTTCTCTGAAATCAATACAATATATTTTTAAAAATTAAAATTAAAAAGAGGTTTTGGGTCCAGAGGTCTTGGGGCGTGTACTGGTCACAGATAAGTCCCAACAGGCGGGTTGTGACCGGTCTTGAGCGGCCAGAATCAGGAGGGGGGGGGTGTTACACATAGACGCAGCCCTGCACCTCCTCCCGGCCCCACAAGGATCCCAACCTGTTAAGGATTCTCGCACCACCTGCGCTCGCCCTCTAGGGGCCAAAAATCGTCTCTATCTCTAACAGCCTTCCCTTCTTTGTCTGGTCAGACACCCCGAGAAGTTCTGGCAGGGGCCTCCCGCCTGCCCCGGAGGCGCTGTCCAGCCCGCGGTGCTGAAGCGCCCAGAGACCTGCCGCCAGAGAACAGACGGCAGTCCTAGCCTGCAGCTTCTATTGCTAACCCTGGCATCGTCCAGACTGGCCTATTAATTTGTACGGATGCTTGTCTGCCTCCGCAGGTTTAAACTGGAATTCCCCCAGAGATCCGAGCTTTCCTGAGGAGGCCCAGGAATGCTAGTGTTTGTCCAGGGGCCTGGAGGCTCAGGAAGTGGACAGTACTCAATTCCTGTGCGCCATTCTGGAAGCAGTAGGCCTTCACGCACGACAGGCATCTCCACTGCCCTCTTCACACTTGTTGTAGGAGTTGTATGGTTCCCCGCACAACTGGGGAGAGCCCCTCACTTTCCAGGAACTCAATTCTCCTTCCCACGTGCATCCAAACCAGCAGGGCCAGCTACCTGAAGGGGGGGGGGGGGGGGCGTAAGACCATCCCTGGGGTTCCTCTCATACACATTCCTTGCAGTAAAGATGCCTCCACTCTGGATGACCACCAATTTTCATGGATACCCACGACTGCTCTCCTCACCCAATGTCCAGGCAGGCAGGGGAGATCCGGGGTCCCCAGTGAAGGGCTCTGCAACTTGGAGTCTAGAGTCTTGCCCTTGAAGGAGTAAATGACATGGTTGCCCAGTGAATTTATCATAATCGTGACGGCAGTGATGTTGGGCAGCCTGAAGAAACTGGATAGAACTACTAGGGCAGAAACTAGTCCAGAAAAGAGGGGCCAGTCGGATGCCAGAA